CTTAAATGGTGGAACGATGTAAAAATACTCGAGTCAACCCTGTTAAGTACTGTTAATAGCATATAGGTACAAATCTTAGTTCATAAACTGCACGAAAATATGCCCTTGAACCAGATTGTTGATGTCAAAAATTGTGACAATAAATTCCTAGATGATAGCATCAATATGTTATAATCAAAATAATAAAAATGCAGTAATTCTTAAATATTTTATAGGAAAATAAACAATGATTTCAAAATTTAAAATAAAAGCGTGTATCTGTACAAGATAATCAGATAAATCAGACTTACCATTTGCCAAACCTGCAGGATATTGTCTTCAGATACTGAGCAAATGACCCAAGCGTCATTAGGATTCCAAGAGAAATCAGATATCTTGGCAGTGTGCCCTCCATGGATGAAAAGTAGCTCAGGAGGGCCGTCTTCCGCATCCTCAGCAGACTGTTCCTCTCCAATTTTGCTCAAATCCCAAACGTGCAGTCTTCTATCGGTTCCAGAGCTTGCTAGAATTGTTTCTTGATGAGGTGACCATTGAACCTATGAGGAATCCGAGGATAATGTCAAATTGTCACTAAATGATGATTAAATACAAGTCAGAAAACTCTCAGTTATATTGACAAGCTAGCTTCATTGCTTAACCCATAACAGAAGATTATTTTACTCAGGTGGCTTATTATATGGCGTAAATAGACGAAATAGTTCAGGGAAAGAATGTAGCAATAGATAAAATTAATTCAATAAGCTTTACACGAAGGATAACCTTGCAAAATTTTAGCACGTTTAAATAACTAAGACTGTCTATCACAATGAGTAAGAATGCGAGATATAAACGCTGTAATAACAGCACATGTAAATACTCAATATCAAGATTATTACATATTTCAAATAAGTGTAAGAAATATTTAAATATTGTATTGATGACAAACCTGGAAGATCTCATCTTTGTGAGACTCGAAAGAATGCAACTTCATTGATAATGACCGAAGATCCCAGAGTGCCACAGTACGATCTGCGCTCCCCGTAGCCAATATGTACTCACTAAATGGATTAAAGCTAAGACAATTGACTTCAGCCAAATGTGCTTCGACCTTGTGACTGGGTCTACTGGTTGATTGACTTCGAGTGTCCCATATCATCAGACGCTTGTCGTCAGCGACAGAACCGAAGACAGATTCATGAAGTGGGTGCCAACTAACGTCTTCCACTACGCTGGTATGCCCTGTAAAGACGGTTTGAGCATCGATTATGTTGCTATCCTTTGGAGTTGCATTGACATCCCACATGCAAATCGTCTAAGTAAATATTAATAGAATAAGAAAATTCAAGATAATAAATAAATAAAATATATTATATATATCTCTCTTATTTAAACCAGAACAGAATTTAAGAAAGAGTATATTATAGTGGATTTCGAGTTTGGAATAAGCCAATTATATTAACAAGTTATAAATAATAAATAAACAATTTAGTCAATTACATGATCATCAGAGGCAGACAGAAGATACCCATCTAGCTTAAGATTCCAAGATAATCCATATCCTTCTTTTTGATGTCCACGTAGTCTTAACTCAGGCTGACATTTTCCAGAGGGATCGGGTTTACTGGGATGTTTGGTGTAATCAAAGACAAGAACATCGCTGCTCGGTGTCTTGGTAGCAATAACACAAGGATTTTGAGGCATATACCGAGCTCTATTCACTTCCCCTTCGTGATTTATTTTAATATTAATGTCGATCTTGCCCGTTACGGCACCAAAGCCCCCAAATTCTTAAAAGACAAGAGGTATTAGCAAACAGGAACGATGTTAAAGAAATATCAATGATACCTCCACGGTCAGCATCATAGCTACTAGGATCAAACTGTGTGTTGTCATTTGGAAGGTGAACACTGGCAATAAGGAGATGATTTTGCTCGTCAGATGTATGCGTTCCAAGAATAAGTCGATGGATGGAGTAATCTTTACCTTCAGGCCTAAATAAATGAGATTCATTTGTTAAGGCCTACCTTGTTATTTCTGGAAGCCATTGAGCAGTAAGACTAGGCCATTCTAGGGCATGAGTCATTACCATGTCATATAAGAATGGAGTGTTTTTTTTCCATATCTTATATTCCTCATTGATAACACGCTCTTCCACGCCATCCTCGTATACTATAATGCAAAA